TCCTGCAGCACTGCTGCTCACTTCACCCCCTGCTCACATGCTGCATCTGTACACCATGCTCCACTATGCAGTCCCCCAAAGAGCCCTGAGACCACTAGTGAGCAGCCTCCTAAATGTCCTCTGCTGAAAACATGTTTATAAATCTTAATGAAATGATGCATTGTTTTGTTCTTTCTAGTCATGTGTTATTTTGGGGTTTTATTTTTTTTGCTAGAACTAATAGTTGAACATGCACAATGGAAAATGAGAGAGGCTACTTCTTACGTAACTCTGAATAGTTTCACAAGCTAAAAATTCACTGGAATTTAATCATTTAAAAACAGTTTGCCACCCACTTGTATCTTAAGTCTAAACAGAATAGCATGCCGCATATCCGCTGTGCTACAGTTGGACTGTCTCTCTCTCTCTCTCTAGACTTTTGTGGCACTGGGCCAGTGTAAAATCTGACTGAGCTGCTTTTTTATATAAACCCAGTTTTCAGTGAAATATTGTTCCCATTAATAGTGCTATTGTGGTTGGGGTGTGTGTGCATATATATAATTTTGGGTTTAAAATTATAGGAGATTCGGGTCTTCCTGAATATGTATCAACTTTTTTTCCTCTCCTTTTCAACATACTTAAAGCCAAAATCATATTTACACAATTGTCTGCTTGTCCCAACTGCTGGTCTACCAACATTATTGTTACTTTCTGCTCCAGTGACTGTAATCCCTGGACACTTCAGATGCCAATCAAAGAAGGAAACCAACCTGTGGGCAAATCTTGCAACATGCTACAAAGATGTCATTTAACATCCTTTGTTAAAAAAGTGATGAGAATGCACCATGCTCCAGGCTGATGGCCATTTGGTATAAAAAATGGATTCAAGCTGGAACAAGGCCAGAGAGATGTCAAATTTAAACCCACAATCTGAAGATTTGGGGGGAGGGGGCTCATAGCAGGTGACATGGTTGACAAATCTTAGTGTTAGGACTCTTTAAAGCATCAAAAAAAGAGGGGGGGAGGCAATAGCAAATAGCTGCTTTTTCAAACAGTGAGGCCCCCACCCCTCCAACCATCTATAATTAATCTATTTGATGAAGTGAGCTTCAGCCCACAAAAGCTTGTGCTGTCTCTATATAGGCAACCCCTGCTTAGCGCTCTTAATTGGTTCCTGAAAAACCGAGCATTAAGTGAAACCGAAAGTATCTGACAACCCAAGATGGTGACTGCAGGTGTTTTTAATGACCCAAGATGGCAACTGCAAGCATATAACAAAACTCTCCGAGCGATAAGTGAAATCAGGTATTGATTTAAAATGAGCATTGTAGTGAAATAGTGCTAACTGAAACAGCATTAAGTGGGGGTTGCCTGTATATCTTATTTAGTCAGTCTGTAAAGGTGCATACCTACCTTACCTTCTAATGTATCAGGATCCATGGAGGATCCGAAACTTAACGTGGCTTTTTAGTTATATATTATAAGTACGTTAAAATCAATAATGAGAGAACGCTGTTAATCTTCCTTTCCCCCTTCTCTTCCCACCTTCTTTTTTTTTTTTTTAAATTCCATTTTCAAAGGTAAGGTTTCTTTTAGGTACCAACTAATCTGAAGCAGGTGTTGTTTGTATCCATCCTCTAGCATGCAAGTAGGCAGACAAGGCTAGTAGGTGAACCCCTGAAGACAGATGTTAGTAACCTTGTTAAACGTGCTATTGGAAAGCAGTCATATACTGCACTGATGAGGCTGATGCAGGAAATGGCACAGAACAGAATCTTCTTTAGGTAGTTCTCTTGCACTGAGAAGATGGTGGGGTGATGGGTGGAATTTTTGATGATATAAACCAGGGGGAAAGTCCATTCAGGCCTTTGTATGCAAAAACAAAATAAAATGACATTGTCTTTTTCTTTAAGGGGTGTAGGTCGTAGCTGTGTGTTGGTCTAAGGACATAGGCAGACAAGGTTCTTTGGGTAAATGTTATCTTTTATTAGACCAAATCAAATAGTTGGAAAAATTCTACTTTTCAAGCTTTCGATACCCTTCCTCTTTTCCGTTAAGGCCTTTTCCCTTTAAGCCCTTTTAAATATGAATGGGTTTATTACATGTTAACAGCAACTGGTAAGAACAAACTTGTCTGGCATTTCTGCAGAGAAATGACTTAAAAATAAATATGGCCTGATAAACTCATAGTTTATTAAAAAAAAAAAAATCCTTCAAATCCAAGTAAGACAGGTTTTTTGGATATGCTTGAATCAGCATGAGCTTTGCAAAGAAGGAGAGTTGGCTGTTGTTCTGCACTCTGTTAAATGTCTTAGTCCCCATGAAATGAATTGCCTGAGTTCTGTTTCTAGTGAACTACCTGTCCAAGCAGGAAATGCTGCTGCAGCAGTTCATGAGGCAGTTTGCAGTTGTAAAGATGGGTAGGATGAACTGGGAGGATCCTCAAACTTTTCAAGATCACGAGGAGGCCTAGCTCCCTGTCCCTTACCATGTCTTTGTAAATTCTTCCCATTAGGGCGAAAGCAATGCATTTTTCTTGTTGTTGGGCAAGAAAAATGCATGACTTTGTTCCCGCCTGCCGCTTCATCAGACTTAAATTTTAAGTCAGCACACATTTTTAAATTAATTCAAGTATCCTCTGCTTAAACCTTTTCTAGATTTTGGTTCATGTCACAACTCTCTCACAGTTGTCATTTTACTGGAGTGTTTTTATCCCAAGCCCAAGAATAGCAGAGATTTTGGAGGTCAGGGTGGAGGTACATTGCCAGAGCTTCAGAGAAGGGTTCACACAGCTCTTTCCCACAGTCTGGTTATAACAAGGGATTGCTTGTTCCACATTTTTCATAAACATTTACCAAAAAAAAAAAAAAAGAACAAAAACCCCATGAACACAAATTCATCCTTAAAACTCAAAATACAAAAATTATTCAAAACATACTTTTGAGTTTGTCAGTATTTTGGTTTACTGAAAAGTGCTGAGTACCAGGGATCTTTGCACCGTTTCTATCCTGTTTACTTCTACCTTTGTAATTGCATAGTTCAATGGTATTAGAAATCCTTTTTTTGCCATTAATGTTAGAAAGAAAATGCCTGTATGAACTTATGCAAAATAAGAGACCAAACATATTTTAAAACTTTTTTTGGATTGCTCTTCAAATCATTTCCATTCAAAGTTCCTATGACATAATGCAACAGAGTTTTAAAATAAATTACTTCTGCAATCAAATTTTATCTGTTTTAGATTACAGCCAGAGATTTTAACCTTTTGAGTCTCTCAAATGAGTCCTGACCTTTTGCTGACATTATTTTCTGTGAACTGAACTCTGCATCCCTGCTTTCATTTCTGTTGAAAAGCCTGGAAAACACTTGGTCGGAGAATTTTATTCATGACACTTTTTAATTATAATGCTCTGTAATAAGCAATGTGCTAAGACTGCATTTTAAAGGGAAGGGGAAAATATTTGGTAGAATACACATTCAGATAAGAAGGTTTAAAAAAAAAATGGAAATGTTACATATGAGAGGGCACAGTTTAAATCCTGGTAAGTGGTATTGAGAAAGAGAGTGCTTTTGTTACTCCAAACTAAATATTATTTAAGTATCAGCATATTACATTTAGGGCTTAATGGGGTTTCTAAGTGATAGGGTTTTGAATAAAAGGTAGAGATTCTGGATTTTACAGCTTTTTGTGTGCCCATCACTCTGTCATTGAATGAGTTGAGTGGGAACTTTGGGTACCCAATCCAGGCTAAGCCCTAGGGGCCAGGTTAACTTGCAGGAAAACTGCAGTAAACTACAGGAGGTATCAATTAAAACTGCTTGCATCAGCTATGGCTTTGATTCTTCAAAAAGTAAATTGTTGCATTGAATGCTGTAGATGTTAGACTGATTTTTTTTTCAAAGCTCTGGATAGATGTTAATAACCCCTTATTATTCCCAATGTGAGGAAAGTATGTGTTGTTAACCCCATTTTTAATTTGAGGTAAACAAACACCTATTGCGGCTGAGCCCATTGCCTGCAGTGCTGCTTCATTTGCTGAATATGGGTCTGAATTTTTTTCCCCAGAGAGATTAAATTGCTGCAGGGTCATCTAGATTAGAAAAAAATTGTGGACGCCAGGATGAAAATTGAGGAAGCCTTGAGTCTCCACTTTTTTTGCTCAGTCAATTCATGCTGTAGTAGGGTCAGAGTGTAGCAGCTGTGTAGTAGCTTGCCCAAGAAATGTAAGAGGCAAGGAGTTTTTTTGTGATACCTTTTTGTGGACCAACTGTATTGACCAGTGGATCAGCAACATAGAGCCTATGTGGCCATTGGATCTGGCCCACAGAGCCCGAGGACTTTGCTATGCCCATGCCTGCACCTGGACCAGAGTTAATCAGTGGAAAGCTGCTGTGGGGTTGAGCAACTTCCAGCTGTGCCCTTGTCACCACTGTTGCTTCTCCCTAGCCTCTCCATGGTTGGGGCACAGGAGCAGCTTCCAGCTGGCAGGGATTCGTGCCAAGGTAGACAGCTGGAAGCTGTCTCTAAACTGCTGCTACTTCTATCACCTTCTTTCCCAGCTGCAGCACAGCTTTCAGCTCCCTGGCCCCTGACACAGCTCCCCTCGGGGTGGAAGATGTACCTGTGCCCCAGCCTGGGAAGTGGTGGCTGGGAGAATCAGCAGCAGTGCAGGTGCAGCTCACAGCTGCTTGGCCCTAACAATGGGTGTGGGGAAAGCCCCCCATTGCTGATGCACCACAGAAGCCATCAAGCCTGCTTTGGACTGATGGTGGGTTGTTCCCACCCATGGCTTGAAAAGGTTGCTGGCCAGTGGTATAGTCAACAACAGTTAATCCAGTGAAAGAGATCATAAAATGACCCTTACTTGCTGAATATGATACTATCTTGTTTACAACAAAATAGGTTCTGTGCTTTACTCTGCTTCCTGGTATCTCAATATTTTGCTGTATGTTATGAGAATAGCAGCCTTCTCCCACTGAAGTCAACAGGATTTCTGCTACTTCAGACTGTATGTACATACCTCTCCCATAGGTTTTTCATAGATATCCTCTTGCCATTGTGTAGCTTTTGTCTGAATAGCATCTCGTTGGAGTGCTTCTAGCACCTTTTTGGGAGTTACAAAGCCATATTGTGCTTCGAGCAAAGCCAGGTCAATTTTTTCTGCCTTAAGAACCCCTATGACTTCATCTTGAGCCTGCAGAAAGATAAAGTACAAAGTATTACAGTGAACTCATTTTTACATATTGGCATGCTTAGTTTAGTTTACTTTCTGCTCTAACATTAGATAGTAGTTTTTAAAAGTTCATTAAATTATGTGTTCAGTACATCATAAATATTCAGTAAAGTGGAAGCTGCTTAAAACTACCAGAGGAGTATTAGGCTTCGTATTTTCAAAATTGTACTCTTAATGTTTTTAAAGATTTATTAATACAATGTGAACTCTGATATCCTGATACTCAGTATTTTGTTAAAGATTAGGCAGATTTTAACCCTGCCTTCAGATCAACCCCTACTTTTCCCGATACAAGATTTTAGGATCAAATGGCATTAGCTATTCTTTTTAGATTTTCATGTAGTCTTTGAGCATGCTTTAGGAAGCCCAGCAGTGTTATGTTCTATGTTCACACCAAGTACAAAAGCAGCAAGCACCTTTTGTTGTTTAAACCAGCCAAGAGGTACTTGGTTACTACTGTCACATATGCATGTTTCTGTGCTGAAGCTTGTGAGGTACATGGTGCAGAGGATGTGACCTTTCACAACATGCATTCCAAGAGCATGGAATAATGGCAGCTCTTTAAAACAAGATTAATTGCCTTTACAGCAGGTAGTAGTGACTGGTGTATGTATCTGCAAAAGAGCGAGTGTGGGACTATTTATTAGGTATTACATATAAAATACATAAGACAGGGTTTTCAGAAGTAAGTTATATTGGGTTCCTCAATTTGTGCACTCCTATTTTAAGGTATTGTAAATGGTCAGAATTTATAGAAGGTGCCAAACCTTGCTGTATGAACACCATGCCTCGGGCACCCAAAAATCAGAACACGTTTTGAAGATGTTGGCTTTTATAGACCCTGTATATGTAATGTATGTGTTTTGCTTTATATGGAAAATATTTGCCAACATGTTCTCACAAGGGAGAAGACTGCAAATATGTCACCTTTGTCATGCTTTTTCATAAATTCTGGCACAAGCCAGCAGGTGCATGCATTTTATTATTTTATAGTTACTCTGTAACAGTCCTCACAGTGGGAGCATTTGAGAATGTTTGAAAACAGCCATATACTATACATAAATAAAATTTTAAAAATGCAGTTTTTCAGTTTCAAGGTTGCAGGTGTTAGGAATTGAGGAAGGGAAGTGGGCATTCATAGATTGTAAGGCCAAGGCCAGAAGGGACCTCGGAAGATCATTGGGTCCAACCCCCTGCACCAAGCAGGAAAGATAACTGGGGGTCAGGTGACCCCAGCAAGGTGATCGTCCAGTCTCCTCTTGAAGATTTCCAGGGTATGTGATTGCGCCACCTCTGGAGGGAGCTTATTCCAGTCTGGACACCCTAACTGTGAAGAAGTTTTTCCTAATGTTAAGTCTGAATCGGACTTGCAGGAGTTTGTGGCCATTACTTCTGGTTTTCCCCTTGGGTGCCCTAGTGAACAGTTGCTTACTGGGCCCTTGATGTAGCGGTAAGCGGTGTAGCGTTAAGCTGCTACCAGGTCCCCTCTCAGTCGTCTTTCCTTCAGGCTGAAGAGTCCAAGATCCCTCAGCCTTTCCTCATATGGCTTGTCTTTTAAGACTCTGATCATATGGGTGGCTCTTCTTTGGACTCTCTCAAGCTTGTCTACCTCCTTGTTGAAGTACAGTGCTCAGAACTAGACGCAGTGCTCCAGCTGCAGTCTCACCAATGCTGAGTAGAGTGGAAGATTCACCTCCTTGGTTTTGCTGGAGATGCATTGATTGATGCATGCAGGAGTATTATTTGCCCTACTGGCTACCGCATCACACTGCCGGCTCATATTCATACTGTGGTCTGTTATTACCCCCAGGTCCCTCTCATTCATGGTGCTAGTCACTTTGGTGCCGCCAAGCCTGTAGGTGTGTTGGGGGTTGCTCATCCCGAGGTGGAGCACTTCACATTTCTCAACGTTGAACTTCCATCAGATTCCGATCTGCCCAACTTGCTAGCCTGTCTCGATCTGCCTGTATCTGTAGCCTATATTCAAGCGTGCCCATGCTTCCCCATAACTTGGTGTCATCCATGAACTTGTCCAGTGAGCTCTTCACCCCCACATCCAAATCATTGATGAAGATGTTGAAAAATACTGGACCGAGCACCGACTCATGATGGACACCACTATCTACTTCTCACCAGGATGACACAGATCCATTCACTACGACTCTCTGGGTCCTATCCTGCAGTCAGTTTCTCACCCACCTGACTGTCTTGGAGTTAAGCTCACAATCCTCCAATTTTCTTGTGGGGTATTCTAGTGGGATACTAGATCCAGAGGCCTTTTGCAAGTCAAGGTATACAATATCAATACTTTTAACTCTAGTATTGACTTTTCCTTCAACATGTTTTGAGTTAATGCAGAAATGAAGTCATTTAAAAACATTTTATACTAAACCTCTAAGAAAAAAAACTGTCAATGACATAATCTTAAACTGTACTCTTCTACCGGTTACACTTGTGGTGCTTTATCACAAGCATGATGCTGGTGTTTTAGAGACTCAAATCTTGGAGTCATGCTGCTTCATGAGAATCTTTGGCTAAAAAATAAATTAAAATAAAACGAAAACTTCTCTAGTTTTCTAGTTGATGAAGAAAAGCTGAAAAAATTATATAAAGCAGGGGTGTCTAACTGGGAGCCTATGAGGGGTTAACAGGCAGCGCACAGGCTTCCTTCTAGCCACTGCTGCCTCCATTGCTCCAGTGGTTGTGTAGGGCGGGACCGC